CAGGAAATATGTATGGGTATTTATGCATGTGCTTGCAAAAAGCATGTATCTGCCTTTGACAAAATACTTAAATATTCATTAAATTATTTATAAATATATTTGAAATGAAGGATTTATTCAATTATAAACAACTGTGAAGAAATCTAATTATTAAATGTATCTAATTTATAATGATTATAAAATGTTATCTAAAATATATAATAACCTTAATATTGAATTGTAAACATAAATTGAAATCCTGTTGACAAATACATTATAAAACTATTTAAGCAAGAATTGTTCGTATTGGACAGCAATCTGTTAAAAGGTATTGTAAAGCAAATGCTATGAGATGCGCACTTAAGAACGTAATAAAGAGTTTTGGAATATGAATTGTTGAAATGAAGGGTAAAAAAAAAAAAAAAAATCTGATAAGTATAATTAAAAGAATTATTCCCCTTACATTTTATAATAACTCAGTTACAAGTTTTAAATAATACTTAAGAAAAAAAAAAACTTATTTTAATCCCTTTCAGAAATGTTCAGGAGAAGTCAGTACTATTTAATACCTATTTAATTATTAGGAATTAGCGAAATACTTATTTAAAGTATTTCGCTAATTCCTAATAATTCTCTAATTTAAAATGAACCGATAGAGCAATTAATTATAAATTGACTTACATTTTTCGATTTAAAAGAAGCCAAAAAAATCATGTTCATATTTAAGAAAGTATTTTTAGGAAGAAGCTCTATAAATAGAAAAGAAATAATGCATAATTTTAATATTAATAATACAATAAACTTTGATCTTAATTTTTGTACCTTAACCGAGTAAAATCGAATTACCACCTTAATTTTTTTTCCTAATGTAATTAACGAAAACTTGTGAAAATATTTCATTCAAATTAAAAATTCTGAGAAAAACTGCCCTGTGAAAAGTATAGCATTTAATTTCCGTTCAGAATGAAATGTTGTTTAAAAAAAAATATGTTGTTTTCACATACTTAGGACTCTGAGTGTTGTAGAAAAAGAAATATATACATTTATATGTATATTTACGACGTAATTACAAAATATTTTACAACCGAACGCGTCAAAAAATCCCATAGAACTCAATGGTAAATGACCCAATGTTTTGGTCACCACGTAGGGATCGCCGGTGCTTCAGAGCAGGGTACGGGAGAAACTTGTTTAGGGCGACTCCATCTTACTTCCTACCTCCATGAGTACTTCCCAGGAGCGGGGGAGGGGGATTGCGGTGATACAGGGACCGGACCAAAATGCCGCCAAATGTTTGTCAGGTTTAGCGACTTTTGGCTTTTTCTCACCAAATTTGGCGTTGTCAGCTTGATGATATCTCGCCAAATTACCGAGATACCCGTTTTACTCAATGTTAAACGCACTTGTTCCTGTATTCTTACTTTTCCGGCATAGCTTGTCCCTTTTATATTTTTCTTATCCTGCATTAGACAGAAAAATATAATAATTTCACATATTTTCATCTATCTATTTCCGAAATTCGTAACAATATGGTAATCTAACATATGCTTACTGTATCCTCGTTCTCCTAACGTTGGATGTCAGATCTGTTTCGCACATATTTTTTTGATTAGAAAAGATTCCCAACCCTTTTTCTTATATTAAACCCTTTTAAAAGAATTGTTTTCTTCATGACTCCGTTACATTTTTCCTTACAACATACAGCATAATGATAATACAAATAATTTGTTCATAAATAGCTTACACAAAAGTAAAAATAGGGAAAAGTTAATAATGTTGGTTCGGGAACATCTTTCATTTTGGGAAATTTCTCCCGAATGAATTTTAAATTCCAAAACTTAGCGCATTCTTGTGTTTCGATTAAGACTTGTTGAGCATTCTCCCTCAGTGCAATCAATTCTTCTTGCATCATAATATCAAGGTAACGTATATCGCAGTTCAGCCGTTTTGTGAGCCATAGTGGCACATTCAAATATTCAATGTCTTGGAACGCGAACATTAAAATCTTCTAAATTTTGCAAATGGCAAACAATATAAGAGTATATCTTCTGAGGAAATATAGCCCTTTTCGATAACGGTCAAACGCATTAAGTTATAAAAATACTGGATTCTTTTCGAGTCATCAATTTAATTAATATTTTTGTAATCAATCGGATCTTGTTTATGGCTATCAGTTAGTGGCGTATATTTGACTATTGAACCCTTGATCATAACTGATCCCTTTAAATGTCATCAACCCTCACGGTCGATGAAAAATTTCACTCTGACCCCGTTGGAAACCCTTGATTTAAAAACATAGAGAAAAATGGAGGTGAAGATAAAAACCAGCATAAAGGTGTTTTCCTTTATGGATGGAACGTGGTACATAGATGGACTGTGAATCCTCATTTCTTATAACAGTTAGTAATTTTTTCGTTAAAACTTGCAAAAATTTTGGAAGAAATATTTTGATCTTATGCAAATCTTATTTTTAGTCACTGAGCTGGGAGCAGTACAAATGCAAATTAGGGTTTTTAAGCGTTTTAAGCTTCAGAAGTAGTTACTGGAGTTCCAAAACGAAGTAGATGTTCCTTTGAGGTGTGCTTTCAGATAGTAAAGTAAAATTCGAGGTTTCGCCGTGTTTGGCGAGTCGCCGTTCTTCAGCAAAGGTAACGTTTTAAGAAGGAAATAAACGAGTTTCAGTCAAGATTACGAATCTGTGATTTTTTAAAGTTCTACTGAAGGTGTACAACAGCAAGTCAACAGAATATAGTCCACTAAACATCAGCGACGGATATGAAATGTACGAAACAGTTTCGATCAAAGATTTATATACAATCCGTTATATCCGATTTTCACATTGTAGGAGGTTCGCTATAGCAGAGGAAAATAATATTAAGTGTGTAGAAAACTCGACGGGATCAAAAGGTTCGTTCGTTTTATACATGGGTAAAATATAATAATATATTATAACTCCGGATATAGTATTATTTGTAATTATAACCTGGGCTCGTTATAGTTGAGGTTTAACTACATATCTATTTAACCCATAGTTTTTGTAGACAATTTCACCATTAGGCGCGTTTAGTATACAACGTTTTTACCACATCGCTGCATGTTTACCACATGCATGCATTCTATTGAAATCAGTCTTGCATTATATTCTTATCGTCATTTATTCTGAAATATTAATTTATATTATCAGTATCTGTTATGTAAATAATCTACATTATTTATCTTTGTATATATTAAGTCTGCATACGTATTATCTAGCTTTTACTTTTTATCTAGCCGTTGGTCGTAAACATACACTCCCAACTACAAAAATCTTTTAAAGGAAGTAAATATTCATGTTTTTGCATTTTTAATTAAAAAAAAAATATAAAATCTTAACATTTTTGCTTGGTTCCTAGTCTCTACATCTAGGTTTAAGAAAACTTTATGCTCATTATAAAGATTAAAAATTAAAAATTGACCGAGATATTTAATTTCAAAACTTTGGTGATTGTTTATAATATATAGTGATATAAATAAATTGGAATAATTCGAGATTCATTCAATACCCTTTCCTTTAAAGGCCATTCAATGATATTCTTTTGCGATTAACCAGTGTCTTTATTTATAATTTTGTTAGTCTGATATACCGAAAAAATTTTCAAACAAATAATTTTCAAGTTTTCAAATGCCATTTCAAGTTTTTAAATGCAAAGTTTTCAAATGCTTGAAAAGTATGTTATTCGTACTGTCATAAAGCATTACTACTTTAGACTCAGAAACTATTAACTACAGAAAAAATTCCTTAAACTAGAAGTATTTTCATTTTTAATTCACGCAAATAATGTAACGAATTGGCTACGTACTGATATTCAAGTCTCGCCAGTGTTTTCTAGATGACGAATTCTATAAGATCCAATGAATAAAATCTTCTTTTTTAATGCATCGAAAGCAATCTCTTAGACGTAATTATGCAGAACAACACTGTAATGAAAACGTCTTGCAAGAGTATTATTTATGGCGTTAGAATGTTAAAATGTTGATCTATATCGAAGAGGAAACTATCAGCCGTGGCAGATTAAATCTTAATTTTTATTTCAGTAAATATGTTGTGGCTACAATCAACTTGGCACACTACTTGTGCCTACGTAAAATATAAAATAAGAAAATAAATATCTAATAAATTGCTAACTTAATTACCAATAGCTCTTTAAATGTTTTCTTTAAATTTTTATACGTCCCCCTCCTACTATCTGCAATGCATCAAAATTTCTCTCGACTGTATCATTTCTAGATCAATCCATCCATACGACTTAGCAACGCTGATGATGTAACTAATTTGAAACCTAAACCGAAACTTAGACCTAACTAAGTAGTGGGAAACGGAGAGTTCAGCGACAGGAGGCGGTGCGCGGTGCAAATTCAGAGGCGGTGCAAGCGGAGGAGCAGCAGATAAGTAGGAACGTTTCGGGATTCTTGATTTAGGGGATAAAACCGGGATTCGAACCTGTAACAAAAGGAGTTCGCAGGGTAGTACTATGATTGATTGCTTTAGAGCACTACCCCATGATCTCTAGTCGCTTATTGGCAAGAAAAAGATTAAAAATAAATTATATTTTTTTAGGATTGCCCCCCCCCACCCGGTGCAGTTAATTGCACCTCGACAATCCCAAAAATTTAGAACAGAAAAACTTATGCATAACTTTATGCAAGCTTTCCATAAGTTTTTCAAGAGGCCGAAATGTAACACTATGCTAAAATATTTATAGTGTTATGAAAACTTAAAATTAAAGAAAAAAAATATTTATAAACTAAATGTACTTAATATCATTAAGCATTAAATTAAAAAAGATTATATGCACAGAACTCCATTAAATGTAAAAAATTATGAAAACTAAATGAATAAATACGTTAAAACTGAATATATAAATTGCATTAAATATGAAAGATAATTAGATACATACAAAAGTAAAAATTAAAAATCATTAAATTACCTTAAATTTAATATATACAAGTTAAATATGCCAAATATCATTAAACTTTACATGAACTACGCTAAATAATCTCAAATTACGAAGAAGAAAATTAAATGTAATAGATTAAATACATAAAAAAATTAAATAGCATAATGCCCATAAGCATAGCTGTTCACACTATCTAATAGATAGCGCTTATCGTCATAGGGCGTCAAAGTCACTTTGTTGACTTCCATAGTGAATAGTCTATGACTCTCACTACCAATTAGATACTGCATATCTCGCGATCGTGTCTCATTGAACAGACATTCTTTGTAGTTTATATGCTTAATATGCTTTCTTAACACCGTTCTGCTCACCCCTTTCGCCGTTTTCTTCTCTCCACAGGGAGTCAGCAAAGAATACATTTTAGCTTTTAGTCCGACGAACTCGTAAACAGGTGCTCCATTCAATTCGTCTTTAAAGCAGCCAATTCTCTTTTTATTCTTCTCGCTGTAGAGAGGGTGCTCCTTCGGATACTCGGACGTATCATACAAATCTAAATGTCGACTCATATCCTTATAAACGTCCTCTGTTTGCACAGAATAAGTCAATGAATCTGTGTCGGTGAAAAAGAGTTCAGCTTTCGATCCGTAGTTTTGCTTCATGTGTTCGTAATGAAACTTATACATGTGCAGCTTGCTCAGTTCCAAAATAGCAAAACCCACATAAATAGGCCGATTCAATGTAATGACATTTTTCATACGTTGAATGCCTACTAAATCTTCATCAAAGATTCTAAATTCCTTGAAAGATGGAGCCGCGACGAGTCTTTGTGCCTTTCTTACATTATTAACAATTTGGATATCCACCCTATTTCGTACGTTTTCCATTGTTTTGCCATACACTGAATTATTCATCAATTTGAAAAAATTTTTTCAAATGTGGTATTCACTTTTTTCTTTCTTCGGTATTAAATTCAATATATTGCGATAACCAAGGCTTCTGTAAAAATTTTAAGATTTTATGCACTTTGGTTAATTTTAAACCTTTTTCCAAATAATATTTCAAATTTCTATAATGAAGCACATAATTTTGCTTCTTTTTCAAATTAGTCACTAATTTCTGTATTTTTCCTGGGTTTTTTCGTCCATCCTTCTGCAATAAAGAGACTGAATAGGGGGATAACTCTTCAGTGGTTATACAGCACTTCTCCGGAGCTAAAGGATAATCATTGTGTAAGTCATGCAGTTCCTGAGGGTATGCCATATCCACTTCTAAAATATAGCCGACAGCTCCATCTTCAGGGGATGATAAAATGGCTTCTATATCAATGGCAGAGGGTGAGATCCATTGAAATCCTCCATAAGGCAGGGGTTGAGACATAGCCCATCCATATAAATTATTTGCATCCAGATATATAATGTAACTGGATGGTTTGCCTGGATCATAATGGGGTAAATATTTATTGTTAGCTTCTGCCCATCGGTGAGATATCATGGAAATACCTCCACGAATACCTCTTTCGATGAACAGGTGCATGTCCAGATCTGTCAGAAGCTCTAATTGAATTCTAGTCATTTTTAAACACGCCTGCCACGCTAGCCCCGGTGACGTCATAACGTGAGCACAGTCCAGCTCATAATTTTTCATACATAAATTTCGAAAGTTTTCAAACACATCTGCTAAAAGAAGAACATCCGATTTAACATACAAATTGTGATAGTCTCCTAAAGTACGGAGTTTAAAAGTCTCCCATACATTTAATGCATGGGAGTAATCTTCATCAGAAATGTGTTCCTCCCCGAGAACACTGTAAAATTCCTCTTTCGGTGGTAAACATGTTTCTTCAAATTTTTTGAAGGATGACATATACTCATAAGGATACACGCCCTTGCGGCGTAGCAGTTCACATTCTTCCTTTCCAAAATGTTTTGTTAAAATATGAAAATTTTCGTCCTTCATGTTGTTCACCAGCTTTTGCAAGGAGGTATTCAAAAATTGGAAACTATCTACAAACTGTAGACTTACTTTATCCTCCCTATTGGCTAACGAGAAGGAAATATATTTTTCCATACTCGTTGCGATTACTTTTACTTCGTGATCTTTCACGTTTTTTAGCCCTTGAAGGATATGATGGGCATCGTAATTCTTCAAATTATGAAAAATCACAGGGATGCACTTTTTCAATTGGTATTGTAAATTGCAGTTGGAGTGCAGAGCCCCTCGGTATTGCCCAGTAATATGGCAGTGATCTCTCACTCTATCTTTCCCCAACGCGTTTTTGCAAATGTAACAATGAGTCGTTGAGAGAAAGTTTTGTTTGTCTTTTTCAGTGAAAATCATGGAAGCGACATGCGTCAGCTGCCCGACCAGTTCTTTTTTCACTTGAATGAGGGATTGCACAAAATGTTCCGCGGCATTTTCACCTCGGTATACACTTCGCTGGTTTCAAAACGGTGCTGTCAGGGCCAATCAGTACATAAGCATAGCCACACGGCTGGTGTTGTGCAATTTTGTTGGTAAAGGAAACACTTTCACACTGCTGCGCACTGTCCATCGGCACAATTATAGATTCAAAGTCCGCATACACAATAAAGGGGACGCGATGTTGAAACTGAATGTTTGTGAAGGAAAGTATATTTTCTCCTTCTTCCGGCATTTTCACGTGTTGAACAGAATGCTCGGCGCAATATTTTAAATGCTCCTTTAACGTCTCTTCCTTCTGAAAGCGGTGGAGGCAACGATAGCAGATATGATAAGAACCATTATGTTTACTGACGTCTCCTAGAAGACGCGACATGTTCCGAATCAGGCAGTAATGCTGCTTATCTTCTTCGCTGATCAGGAGCAAATTAATACAGTCCTCATTCGTATGTTTAGATACGTGCAGGGGGAACACTTCTTCGTCTTCATAGCCGAACACATTTATTCGCAGATTATTTAGCTTTTCTAAATACACAATTTTATGCAGAGGAACACACGATTCGTGAGGCTTGTAGTGAGAAAGGCGGTGAGTAGTATTTTCTCGTGAAATATTCATTTTGTGGGCGATTAAACACCACACAAAACATTTGTCATCCTCATAATTTTGGATATTTAAGATGGCCTTTTTATCGGCCAGTTTCTTAGGCAGAGGGATGTAACTGCTACCCGGAAAGACCTCATAACGAGCCACATTTAATTCAAATTTGTTAATTTTCTCCAAGACCCACCCTGATCCGTTTTTCAAAGTTATTTTTTATTTTTTCAAAGGCCTCTTCGACTTGAGGCTCGACATCGTGTGTATTTAAGAGGCGGGCACATTTACTTCGGAAATAGGGGCTAGCATATTCTTTCTCACCATCCCCATTATCACGACTCATCAAAACATTGATGACCCCGTACCATTTTAAGCTGCGATGGGCACTTAAATTTTGTTGCAATGTTTCATTTAACAGAGGTCTCAAATATCCGAAAAATACGTCTACATCTTGACTGTGTTCTGCGTTGGGGAATATGGTTTCTGTCGAGAAAATATCTCGAACACGGGTCGTTTTGACCCGTTTCGAAGCGCTGGCAGAAGGATCCGTATTACGGCGTTTTTCATGGGTTCGTGTAACACTGTGTTCTACACGAATGTGGTGTAACAGATCGCTATGTCTATTAAATATTTGAGAGCACTCTGCACAGACAAAAGATCTCAAATGAGACAATTCGTGACGTCTCAAATTATCAGCTCGTGTAAATTTCATCGAACAAGTTGCACAATTCAAAGAAGCACTTTCATGGGTTTTCTTATGCCGATCCAAATCACTGCCGCGAGTGAATGACTTTTCACACATATCACAAAGAAAGGATTTTTCCCCTGAATGAGTTTTAAGGTGACGAATCAAGCTCCGTTTTACCGTAAACCCTTTACCACAAGTGGGACACACCTGAGAAAGAAACAAAGAGGGGGGTAAGCTATTGTATGCTTTTAAAACTCGCCTCATAGCTTTTAACTAGCTATACAAAGGTCAACTGTGAATTCTCCTATGTTAAACGGAGAAGGCTTATCGCGATTTTTATCGTTAACATTTTCTGATACCGTACCGTTACCTTTTTTAAAACGCAATGACTTTATATGTAAAAATAACAACTATACAAATGTAACTAAATATCAGTAACGAAATAAGTTACTTTTACACAGTTTAATCCTTTGACATTTAACACATATTCAATAATATTCAAAATATAAATTTAACCTATTAAGTTCAGCGTTACCTAAGTAAAATTTACATTCTCGCTTTAATATAAAGAATTGATGTTCTAAGTTTAAACTTTCCTAACAGATTCTAAAAATTCAAACACTCAAACTTTACTAAACAAATGTTAAACACCGACTTTATATATGAAATATACCTAAAACATGTCTAACAAAATACTGAAAAACTTTATGAGTAATAGTTAATTTTGTACTTTACATTTAAAAATTTTTCCCTCACATATACACTCAAGCTTTAAAATTATCAAATTTATGCCTGAAACATTTTAAAATTACGTTTAGTTTAAACTTTCCTAATAGACACTCAAAACATACACCGACACTAAAAATTCAAACGCTCAAAACATATACCGATACTAAAAATTCACTATGTAATTCATATGAAACATTTAGTATTCCCAGCAAAATACTGAAAAACTTTATGAGTAATATTTAATTTTATATTTTACATTAAAAAAAATTTTCCCTCACATAAAAAGTCTTAAAAGGGTGATCCACCCTAAAGTAATTTTCACAAAATAAAAAAAAAAAAAAAAAAAAAAAAAACTTACATGTTCAGGAACCAAACTGATGACATGGTCAGCAGCAACATCCCCACATAGCACAAAAACATCCTTGGGATATCCCAAGGATGTTGCTCGCGGGATATGCGCACATCCCGGAATATCCCGCGAACCTCCTAAACACCTCCTCCCGAGTGCTTAATGTCACATCCCGGGATATCCTCAGGACATAATAACCAAGTCCCATCGACAGCGTGCGGGATGTTATTAGGATATGAACTCCTACTTACTACATCCTCAGGACATCTCGCAATATCCCGCGAACCTCCTAAGCACATCCCATTATATCCTAAAAACATCCTATCTATGTCCCATCGACAGCATATGGGATGTTATTAGGATTTAAAGTCCTACTTACTACATCCTCAGGACATCCCGTAATATCCCAATTTCCTCCTAAACTCATCCTCCTGAGCGCTTAATGTCACATCCCAGTATATCCTTAGGACATCCTATCTACGTCCCACCGACAGCGTATGGGATGTTATCAGGATTTGAAACACTAGTTACAATATCCCTTTAACCTCTTAAATACATATTCTCAACTGCTTAGTGTCACATCCCAGTATATATACAGAGGAAAATTCCAGTGAAAGTAGTATGTGAAGGTGTGATGATCTAAAACCTACTTTTTTTTACACAGATAGTCTCAAATCGTTCTCCTATGGTTACTATGGAAAAATCAGAAATGTTTGAAAATATTTATACAACTTATTTTGTTTTTAAATCTGAATTTGTGAATATATTAAAACTGAGCAAGGAAATTAAAATGAATTATTAATACAAAATATTAAAACTGAAAATTTTGCTTTTATTTTTAAGATATTAAAAATCTTTTGATCATTTTTAAACATCCAATAGCCCCAAATTAATTATTTTTACAAAATCAGTTTCTAATTTCAGTTAATTTGTATTAAAAATTGAATAATAAAATTACCCATTTAATAATCTTTACATAAATGAATCATCTTTCTTTAAAACATGTAAGGAATTTATAGTGTTTGATGACACTGTTGGGAAATTGTTAAAAGGAATAAATTGTATTTTTAAAACTAAATCAATTCCTAGCCTCAGAATAAATAAATATGTTTTCGTAACATGAGAATGCTGCAGGCTTTTTATATATTTAATATTTAGTTGTAAAAATTTGACATTATGTTAACAATTCTTTATATCATTCAAAAGGTAACTCAAGAAGCTCTTCTAAAATTCTATCTTTCTGCTCACACAATTAAAAAAAAAAAAATGAAAGGCCTCAGATTTTAGCAGTCACTCAAAGAGGCTAAAAGTTTATGAATGCATAGATTATCAATACAGATGGGGGCAGTGGAAATAGCAAAACATTTTATAAGATACTGACACCAGAAAGTTATATATCTTCTATATATTTGAAAAATGAAGAAATATATCATGTAATTATGTAGAAATATTAAAATGTTTTCAATTAGATATATCATGAATTAAATGCATTTTAAATCAATCAGATTAAAAATTAAAAAAAGCATTGTTAAGAACTGTGTGTAATGCTTTTAAATAGCTTGGCTTGTTAGTCAATAATATATTAGATTTTAAAGGTAAATATATGTTAAATTTTGCCAAATGGCAAGACTTGAATGAAAAGCGAAACAAGTTTACGACTGACGATATGAAGTCACATTTCAAAACTAATAGCCCTTTTAGATTAAAAAAAAAAGTTCTGAAAATAATTTGCAATGGTTCATTGGTATTATTTTATGCAAAATTCAGTAAAATGAAATTTACCCGTTGAAAATCAGCACCAAATTAAACTTTGTAAATTCTAGCGCATGTTAAAGGTTGTCTCATCCAGAATTTTATTACTAACCATTCATTTCAGAGCAAAATAAAACAGTAATTGCCATTTATATGACAATCAATATCAAAAATTTAAATCTGCATTTTACGCAACATAGAAAAACTTCAAAAGATCTACTGTTTACCATGCAATTAAGGCATTTTATTCTGCTATCAACTCTACCAATTATTAATTCCATTAAGTATATTCAGTTTACTCTTTCTGCTCAATATATGCAATGTAAAATTTTCCATAAATTTATTAATTCATTTTATTTTGAGGTGAGCTTTTATTCAACTCTCAATGTCAACGAGAATGTTTAGTTCATTTTTTATTCGGTCTC